TTCTAGCGAGGTCGAACTTTTCCTTAGAATGGTCCTTTGCCGTGGGGATGTTTCGAGCTAACGTCGAAATATTATCCTGCTATAGTTCAAACGAGGTCGATCTCCCCTTTTCATTTGGCGATGGCCCTTGGCCGTAAGGGTGTTATTTCGAGCTAGCGTCGAATATTATCCTGTTTCGACTCGAACAAGGTCAAATTTCCCTTTCATTTGGCGATGGCCTTTGGCTGTAAGGGTGTGATTTCGAGCTGACATCAAAATGTTAACCAATATGATTTGAACGAGGTCAAACTCTTCTTCTTGGCGATGGTCCTTGGCCGTAGGGGTGTTATTTCGAGCTGACATCGAAATGTTAACCCAATATGATTCGAACGAGGTCGAACTCTTCTTATTGGGCCCTTGGCCGTAGGGGTGTTATTTCGAGCTAAAGTCGAAATGTTAACCCAACATTATCCAAACGTGGTCAAACTCTTCTTCTTGGCGATGGCCCTTGGCCATAGGGGTGTTATTTCGAGCTAACATCGAAATGTTAACCCAATACGATTCGAACAAGGTAGAACTCTTCTTATTGGCGATGACCCTTGGCCATAGGGGTTTTATTTCGAGCTGACGTTGAAATGTTAACCCAATATGATTCGAACGAGGTCGAACTCTTCTTATTGGCAATGGCCCTTGGCCGTAGGGGTGTTATTTTGAGCTAACATCAAAATGTTAACCCAATATAATTCGAACGAGGTCGAACTCTTCTTCTTAACGATGGCCCTTGGTCGTAAGGGTGTTATTTTGAGTTAACGTCATAATATTAACCCAATATGATTCGAATGAGGTCGAACTCTTCTTATTGGCGATGGCCCTTGGCCGTAGGGGTGTTATTTCAAGCTGACATCAAAATGTTAACCCAATACGATTCGAACGAGGTCGAACTCTTCTTCTTGGCGATGGCCCTTGGCCGTAGGGGTGTTATTTCGAGCTGACGTCGAAATGTTAAACCGATATGATTCGAACGCGGTCGAACTCTTCTTATTGACAATAGCCCTTGGCCTTAGGGGTGTTATTTCGAGTTGACGTCGAAATGTTAACTCAATATGATTCGAACGAGGTCGAACTCTTCCTATTGGCGATGGCCCTTGGCCGTAGGTGTGTTATTTCGAGCTGACGTCGAAATGTTAACCCAATATGATTCGAACGAGGTCGAACTCTTCTTCTTGGCGATGGCCCTTGGCTGTAGGGGTGTTATTTTGAGCTGATGTCGAAATGTTAACCCAATATGATTCGAACGAGGTCGAACTCTTCTTATTGGCGATGGCCCTTGGCCATAGGGGTGTTATTTCGAGCTGACGTCGAAATGTTAACCCAATATGATTCGAACGAGGTCGAACTCTTCTTATTGGCGATGGCCCTTGGCCATAGGGGTGTTATTTCGAGCTGACGTCGAAATGTTAACCCAATACAATTTGAACAAGGTAGAACTCTTCTTATTGGCGATGGCTCTTGGCCGTAGGGGTGTTATTTCGAGCTGACATTGAAATGTTAACCCAATATGATTCGAACAAGGTCGAACTCTTCTTCTTGGCGATGGCCCTTGGCCGTAGGGGTGTTATTTCGAGCTGACGTCGAAATGTTAACCCGTTATGAGTCCCAAGTTTTGGAGAGTTTGGGGTGTCCTCTGGGGGAGTCCCAGTTTTGCTTACCCTCTGTGTTTCCTGGGTGAATCCCAGTTTGTTTAATTTTTTTTATATTGGAGAGTGCAATGTCAGAGAGTATAGATCGTTGCTATTGTGCTAACATCCATTTCATGCATATATTGGAATTTCCCTGTCTAGTTCCTTCATCGTCAGGCCTGGAGGGCTCGTCAGTAGGCAGGGCGATGAATTATCCCTCGAACCTGGTGACGTTCCCCTTATTGCCTCGTTCAAAACCTCCCCGAGAAAACCCAATGGGGACAACACCTGGATGTGGGAAAGGGAGTACCACTCAAGGGACGTCGTTTTCTAGAAGTTGAAGTGTGAGATGGGCGATATTCCAGTTATCCCGTAGCAGTTTTCCTTCCATTCTCTTGTTGGGATGCTCTTTTGCTCGCTTGCCTATGTGGCGCTTGTATTTCTGTTCAAGCAAACAACATAAAGTAAACCAAAATGAGATTTTCCTTACCTCAATCCAATGAGTCGATGAACGAGGGTAGCCTTATGGCATCGCTTGTTCCATCTGGCGTTTAAATGGTTGATGGATTGGTAACTTTTAGATTCGGGGGCCATATTCGGCTCTCCTTTCTTTTTTTGAAAACGCCCTAGCTCCGCGTGGGTTGGGTTTGCTTTAGCTTGTTCATGGATCATCCGGTGTAGGGGTGGATTGTCAGAGTAGGGCAGGGTATGCCCGTTCTTTTGTAGGATTGCGCAGCAGGTGTCGTCTCCTCTTGTGGGTTTTGCGTGGGTATTGGTTGTAACTTCTGTTTTTATGTAGCATCATGATCTAGATTAGTAAATGAGGTTTATTTATCTCTCTTTCTGGTGGGTGATTATGTTTCACCGGTTTTGGATTTGAAGGAGATTAAAGAATTTGGCTAAGAAATCCCCACAGATGGGCGCCAAATTGTTTGAACAAAAAAATTTGAGAATATTTTGTCAACCTCAATTATCGATAATAAAGAAAGTAAATCTTATCTTCCACATAATCAACTTCAGATCTACAAGTATATAATGAGAAAAAATGAAAGGTAGGAGCATCTCATATTTATTAATGTCATAATCTTGTCCCTCCTAAGAGAAAAAATGAGCTTACATAAAAATAGAAATTGTAGGAAAAAGAGTCAAGAGAAAGGATCCCCATTTCCAGGAATTTCCCCCTCTATATATAGCTCCTGAAATCTTTCATTCAGTGGTCTTTGACTAACATGACCCTCTGCAACGGTCCTCCTCATTGTTGCTTAAGCACAGTAACATCCTTGGCACATGTTGACGATGACTTGACCCCAAGGTCGGTCGCGGTACCTTTCACTATTTCGCCACCTAGATAAGATCCCGGCTCGATCGACTGCTATGGTCAGATTTTGACCTATACAAAGAGGAGAAGGCACAAATGCTCAATTATCATAGTGAAAAATTAGCCGTTGCCGTTGCACAATGTTCCATCCGGGGACTAACTCATGTGATAAAATATTTAAGGATTTGTGAGATTATCATGCTGTAATCAAACTCATATCAAAGACAAGAAATAGTAATTTGTCTTTGATTAATATATTGACGGCTTAACATAGACCATTGCCCAAAAGATAAAAAAATAGTAATAATCTTTCTTAATATTAACACGAATAAACAGTAAATGTGTTAGATTTGCATGTAATTAAAAAAAAAATTATTTTTAACAATAATATATTGATAGTAAACCCATTTACTTATTGGGTAGGTTAGATGAGTACTTGGGTCATGGGTTAAATAGATTTTATTATTAAAAAATAAATTTTTAATATGGCATGGTATAATATATTGATAGTAAACCCATTTACTTGTTGAGTAGGTTAGATGGGTACTTGGGTCATGAGTCAAATAGATTTTATTATTAAAAAATAAAATTTTAATATGACATCATATGCTAAATATGCGCTTTTATTTTTTGAGTCAAAAGGTAATTGTTGGGTGATTTTATTGTCCTAAATAAAATAAAAGTGGCTTTGGTAGTTTATTCTCATAAATTGGTTGACCATCCAAGGAATTTACTCGCTAGCTTATGATAGACCACAAAAAACCTCCCCACAATTCAGGTTCTCTCTTTGAACAATCGAGCCATCGTCTTAAGAAAAAAATCTTATAACTTACTTACATCCAAAAGAAATAGAGGCCGACCTGGTGGGTATTTTTATCGTTGAATTTTTTTATGTATTTAATAAAATTTAAGAATAATAGAAAAATATATGTATTAAGCCTTATAATATATGATAATTCCAAACACTAAGCGGATGATTTGTAAAAAGAGAATAAAAGAAAAGAACAAAATCATTCTACAGGAACTATGTGGATTGATTTGTAAAAAGTTAACTCTAATATTTTAAATTGTGTATCACAATTGAAATTCTCAAAAGAAGTTTACTAAGTACCCCAATACAACAACAACAACAACAACAACAACAACCCAGTATAATTCCACTAGTGGGGTCTGGGGAGGGTAATAGGTACGCATACCTTATCCCTCCCCCGAGGGGCAGAGAGACTGTTTCCAGGAGATCCTCGGCTCAAGAAAGCGACAAGAGACGATATATTAGTACTATCCATAGATTCAATATAAAATAATATAAAACAAAATAAAATAACATACCATAACATAAAATAAAAATAACAACAGTATAAGAAATATAGGAAGTACGAAAAAGATGGAAGATATAATACACTCTTCCGTCTTCGTGTATTTTAAAATAAAATATTTATAGTTTTCATATTATAAAAATCTTACAAAAATATTAATATAATGCTATATTCATTTTACTAGGATGTTAAATATTTAGTTTAGAAAAATTATAAAGTATACAATATAATTATAAAAAATAAATTTTAAAATAATTTAAACTTTTTATGTATTTAATTTTATGAATTTAAGAGGATAACAATTTTTTTGGAAATATTTAGCTATCCTTTTAATTAAATAAATAAACTTTTTTTGAAACATGTACTCTTCAAATCTCTTAAATAAGACATGACATCGTATTATTTATACTATTTTATTAGGAATAAATCTCATACATTTAAACACGTAAGTATTTGCATTTTGTTTTGCATAATAATATTTTACTATATAAAATTTCTTATTTTTATTTAGTTTAGTTATTTGTTTTTTCACTTTAAACTATCTTAAGTTTACTTAGTTAATAAAGTTTTCGTGTGTAGGATTTCTATTATGTACGGGGGTTCAAATTCATTTAGAAAAATAAGGATAACATAAATTCTATTCTATAGTATTGGAGGTGTAACAAATTATAGGGCTGTATTTGTAATTGCGCAATATTATACCCCACTAATTTCTTTTCAACATCGTTATACTAAGTGACGTCTGCAATTAAACTAGGCCGACGGATCCAGCCTCCGGTGAACCAGCCGGCACTTTCTCCCGTCGAATCAAATCGCCGGCAACTTCACTGCCCTCACAGCACAGGTACGGCTCTTCTTCCACTTGTTCTGCGGGTACTATCTATGTTTATCAATCAATTTTTGAGCTCATTCTCCTTCTCCGACAAATAAATTCAAAAATTTGCTCGAATAGAGAATTCGCCAATTAATTGCAATTTTTTAGAATTCCTTTTCTTGTGGATTTTTCTGCAAGTAGAATTACTTTTCAGGATTTTAAGTTAGTTCATGCAGAGTACCACTATACACTATTACTTTGTGATAGCAGGTCAATAGTCACCATTTAATGACTACCATAAATATTTGAGTTTATGTTGTTCACTTTAAGCAATTTTACACCATCATGTCACCCATGGTAAATACTTACCTGCTCCCGGTAAATACACCAATGAATATTAGACATATGTCTTGCATATACACTTTTTAATACTTAATCATGGTTAAGTGATATGCAATTTTACTTTAATTTGTTGATTCTTAAAGTTAATTATTTAGTTAGGTGTAAACACCAGGCATGGATAAGCATACGTAGTGCAGCATGTATCATGTCTTATTTTTATGATTGCAAATCTCGCACTTTAAGGAGGCTTACATGCAGATATCCTTTGGGCGACCTGATAATTCTGCACTTTAAGGAGGCTTACATGGTGTAAATAATTCTGTACGCAGACGGTGTATATAACTTTAAAAAAGTTTTAGTATAGCTAAGAGAGTACAATAAATTACATGGTTGTGTAAAAATTGTTTACATTCTCAGTGCATAGAAATTGAACGCTGAACCTATAATTTCTAAATCGATGTCCAAATACTTAATCAGCCCTTGTTTCTTGGCTGGACTTTTATGTAAATGAGTAAATCGTTGAAATTTTGGTGCTATTTTGCTTTATTTTGTTGTTGTCTTTGTGATTTCTGCTTTCATGTGATTCAGTATAGCTAAGAGAGTACAACAATGTGATTGATTTCATATATATCATCTTATAAAGTTGATAGTTGGTTCTGCTTATTTTTGTGAATTATGAGCGAAGAAAAGAAGTAGAGCAGCTGCAGACAAACTTATTAGTCTTTGGACTCTATTATTAAAGAAGCTTAATGGACCAGTTTGGTAGGTACTAGAAGTAATAGTTGTAAGAAAATATTTTCTAGAAAGGTTTTGCATTTTCAAGAGTTTGCGCAGATGAAACAACTCGAAGAAAAATCTTGTAGATTATGTGTGAAGTTACAATTTTGAAAAAATGTTATGCAGAAATTTCGAAAATTTTAACATTTCTCTTCAAAGTCATATATGGTTCTAAGACTTATTCTTTGGTGCTTATCAATAATATTTCATATGGAATTTTCCTATAATAAAGCCCAAAGTTTCTGGTTGAAGCTTCATCATCCGAAAGAGAATTCATTTTCTCCTTTTGTCTATTTTTATAGGGTGCATTTTGAAGAAGGTGAATGCTTAAATTCATCATTCTTTTTAGTGGAAAAATATATCTTGAGCTGATGAAAGTTGTGTCACTTCACCACCATGTATAAGCTGGTGCAAGCTGATTGAGTTGTTTTCAATACAGCTTTTAGCTTGAATATTCTGAGCGACCCCCTTTTTGTCGACTGAGTAGCTTTAGCTTTACAGGAAATTCATTTACTGGATGTAATTCTGCAAAAGAAAAATAAAAGAAATAATGGATGATCGGATTGTTCTTGACAAGGGTCAGAAAAGGCAGTTGCCTCAGTGGATGTTTGCTACATCTGCTGCTGATCAAGTGAAGAAAAAAGTCAAAACCGATCATGTAGACAGTAATAATAATAATACAGAGGAGGAAATTGTCACACAGAAGCGCAGCAGGTTGAAAAACAGAAAGACTAAGGACAAAAAGGAAGCATTCACTGGGGAATCTTCCACAAAGATTTCAGTATGCCAGACAACAAAAAGAAGCAGAAGAAAGTTAAACCTACCAAATGATGATTGTAATGATGAAAGCGGTTTAATGGGGAGTGAACGTGACCGGATGAAGGTAAATGGTAATGGAACGTTGCCTATGTTGAGAAGACAGAAACAAAAAACGAAGAATTCCAAGATTGAGGGAGGTGAGATGGAAGAGTCAAAAACAAAAGCAAGTGATAGAAGTGGCTTAAGGAAGAGAAAATGCAGCAGCGTGAAGGATAATTCTAATGAAGCTGGCCCTAGTTTAAGGAGGCAGAAACTGAAAGTAAAAACTTCCAGGAAGGAGAATTGTGCCGATGTTGAAGAGTCAACACCAAAAACAGATGATGAGGATTTGACTGTTGAAGATCTACTGAGCATAGCGGAAGAGGTGATCTGCTAAGTTCTCTTGAGGTCTCCAAAACAATTCTTCAGTTTTACCATCTAAAAGTAATGATCACATTTGGCCAAGAAATGTGGTATCACAGATAATTTTACTGTTCATTTTTGCAGTATGCTGGGGATTCTGATGAAGATTTGACTGTTGAAGATTTACTGTGCATTGCTAAGGAGGTGATTGTTGTTACTTAAATCCTTTAGTTTTGGATCATCTGAATTATTTACTAAAGCTTTACTTGCTATTTAAAATTAGAGGAACTACTTAGATTATTATTTAAAATAGGGAACTAGGCTATTAATCTGTGGCATCTCATTGAATGTGTTTGCAACTAATTTTCAACATATGAAAAATAAACTGCAATCACAAAATAAGAGAAATATTTTTACTAATCAATTGTGAGTACAATTATGTTTCTCCCTTGATTCTTCTCTCCTGATTATCTCCGTGATTCGAGGGTTGAAGCTGCGTATTTCTCGAATGTAGGATGATGCAGACCTCCTAGGGATATATTTGATCTCCAGCTTCTTGAACTATTTGATTGTCAAAAAGTATCCGGCCATATTTTGATCTCTTCGTGAATATCCCAAGAGTTTATGGGATTTTGAGACACCTCTTCAAGAGAATGTGTATTCCTTTATATAGGTGTGAGTTAGGGTTTAGGGTAGAGTAATCTCCAAGAAACCCTAAGAGACTCTTAGGATTTCAAGAGTCATGTAGTATCTTTAATTTAGGATTTGGCTTGATCCCTTAAAATTTCGAGTCTACAAATACCCCTACTTCAAGGTTTGTCGGGGTATAGGCTTGCCGAAACTTTAAGACGAGACTTGAAGTACTCGACCATCGCAACAAATGGTTTTGAAACTTGGAGTTTTCGATTTACAGGAGGAAGAAATGAAGGGCAGAACTAGTCCCACCGGGCGTGCCAATTTGTTTGCAACTAATTTTCAACATATGAAAAATAAACTGCAATCACAAAATAAGAGAAAAATATTTTTACTAATCAATTGTGAGTACAATTATGTTTCTTTTTTTATTCTTCTTCCTCCTGTGGATATATTTGATCTCTAGCTTTTTGAACTATTTGATTGTCAAGAAGTATCCGACCATATTTTGATCTCTTTGTGAATATCCCAAGAGTTTCTGGGATTTTGAGACACCTCTTCAAGGGAATGTGTATCCCTTTATATAGGTGTGAGTTAGGGTTTAGGGTAGAGTAATCTCCAAGAAGCCCTAATAGACTCTTAGGATTTCAAGAGCCATGTAGTATCTTTAATTTAGGATTTGGCGTGATCCCTTAAAATTTCGAGTCTACAAATGCCCCTTACTTCAAGGTTTGTCGGGGTATAGGCTTGCCGAAACTTTAAGACGAGACTTGAAGTACTCGACCATCGCAACAAATGGTTTTGAAACTTGGAGTTTTCGATTTACAGAAGGAAGAGATGAAGGGCAGAACTGGTCCCACCGGGTGTGCCAATTTGTTTGCAACTAATTTTCAGCATATGAAAAATAAACTGCAATCACAAAATAAGAGAAAAATATTTTTACTAATCAATTGCGAGTACAATTATGTTTCTCCCTTGATTCTTCTCTCCTGATTATCACCGTGATTTGAGGGCTGAAGCTGCATATTTCTCGAATTTAGGATGATGCAGAGCTCCTGGGGATATATTTGATTACCAGCTTCTTGAACTATTTAATTGGCAAGAAGTATTCGGCCATATTTTGATCTCTTTGTGAATATCCCAAGAGTTTATGGGATTTTGAGACACATCTTCAAGGGAATATGTATCCCTTTATATAGGTGTGAGTTAAGGTTTAGGGTAGCGTAATCTCCAAGAAATCCTAATAGACTCCTAGGATTTCAAGAGTCCTGTAGTATCTTTAATTTAAGATTTGCTTGATCCCTTAATATTTCGAGTGTAGAGAATGATTTGTAAAAGATATATATTGTCTCAGGGTTTTTGTTGTTTGGTATAACAGTTGCTGTTTCACTTCTGTAGTAAATATGAGACGTTGGTTGTTATCTTTTTTTCCCTTCCCTGGCAGTATGTGAATGAGAATGAGCAAGCTGCATCAGGCAAAGGAAAAAGTGGTCCAGTGGAGGATGTTATTTCCATGTCAACAGGCTCGTTAAATTGCAGTGAATTGGACAATCAATCTTTGAGAAGAGACGAAAGACATTCTGATAGTATTCCAATTACAGAGACAAGAGTTGAAGATGCTCCTCCTAAGGTTAACATGTCCGAGAATCCTACTCAAGACATGTTAGATGTGTTTTTGGGCCCTTTGTTGAAGAAAACTCATGAGGAGAAGAGAGTTGAACTAGTTAGAGAAGACATGATGAGTTTAGCTCACGATCTAAACAAGAAAAACCAGAGCGATCCTTCTGAGGGTCACCCAGTTTTGGTAAAGAAGAAGAGTAGTCTCAAGGACAAGGTAGCTCTGCTTCTTGACTAATAGTTGTGAAGGTAATTAGGTAGAGGATTTGGAAGAATAAACTTGATCAAATATAATTTATCTAATTTCACCCAAGCACTCACTTGTTTACTTATAAATCCCACGACAGAGTATTTGTTTATTTGTAGATTCTTCATAGTAGTATTTTCTTTATCTCATCGTTGTACAGTAACTATGAAAACTTGATTCCCAGTTATACGAAAAAATGTTTTTCCATGTAAATGAATGAACTTAGAGAAAGAAGCCTCAATAGCTGTGCATTATATTTTTGTCAACTATACCATAATTTTATGTCAGAGTTAGCTACGGGAGTGAAATCACATTCTTCATCCTGCTGATGAAGAACTTCATGTGATGACTGATGATCTTATTGAATACAGAAATTTCTATTTATCAATGTGGTCAAACATCAAACTGATTCTTTAGACACGTATGTTGTGATCAGGGGCGGATGTAGTGTATTACCGACCGGTTCAATTGAACCCATAACTTTTGACGCGGAGTAAGATTAAAAAAAATCATTAAAATTGCAAAAATATATAGTAGATATGTACCCCATAACTTTAAAAATATGATGGGTTCAATGCTAAAAACTTTAAAAATTAAACTCATAGAGTTTAAATCTTGGATCTGCTTCTGGTGGTGATTTGGCAAGTGGCTGTTCTCAAGTTTCATTTGTAAGTAGGTGGCCTGCTTGATATTTTATGATAGCTGAGACAGGACTGTAAAATGCATGAAATAGCAAGTTTTGGTGATCTGAAATTTATGTAAATGAGTGGCTTAATCTACCTTGTGATTGCTTTTCGTTTTATACATCTCTTGGTCGGGTAATTCGGATAGATCTTTACAAAAACAACTCTGCCTCGCGTCAAACAAGATGGAGTCGATTATATAAATCTTCACTTACCATATTAATTAGGATATATCTTTATTTATGGATCTTGTTTTAGAGCGCCTCAGTGTGAAACAAGTTGGAGTCAATTGTATGAATTCTCACAGACCACGTTACTTCGGATATATTTTTATTTATGGATTTGGCCTAGCAAAACGCAACAATTTGAAAGTGTCTAAATGATGGAAGTGGAAATTTTAGGAATCTGTACAACATAGTGAAAGATTAAACAATAGGGATGGTGAAAGGTAACTCTTATATTTATTCATCAAATTTAGAACAATTGCAAACAACATAGTACAAAAATAATCTTTACTCTCCCTTTCTAATGTACGCGCCTATGACATAACGTCTCCATTCACTTTCCTCTCCCAAACAAAAAAAAGTACACAAAAGGATCTCTCGTCTACCTTAATATTAAAACTATATAGGTCAATCAATCTATATAT